TAATTTTCGGCATACCATTTGTCATAACCATCTTCTGATTCAGAAGGTGGCTTAGTCTTGCCACGAATATAGGAGAGTTTCTCCCTTTCAGCAATATGCATCTCCATTGATTGGGACCAAACATCATAATTGGATTCAGTAAGACTAATCCCTGCATTAAAAACACCTTCAGATTGAACAAAAATAGGAACTGATTTCGTCCCAGAGGATTCAATATTTTTTTCACTCATTTTTTTTTTCCCTTTTTTTTTTCCTTTTTTTTTTTTTTTACACAATATATATATATATATATATATATATATATATATATATATATATTAATAAACTAAAATCAATACAAAAACAAAATATTAACTTTTCTGTTAAGTGTTAACAGAGAAGTATCCAATACACTAACAAAACAAGAAGGAAAAACTGGATGAGAGGGGCAGTGGCAGAGAACGAGTATCACCACGATGCGACGGCGATGATGGAGATTCGATGCCACAATGAGATCCGGCGAGGTAGCGGTTTGACTAGATCCGGCGAGGCAGTGGTTTGACGTGAGCCGACGATGCGATGCGACGATCCGGCGATGCAATGGCGAGGTGCAGCGGTTCGTTGCCGGCAGGCAGCAAAGTAGATCTGTCGAGGTACAGCGGTTTGGTTACGGCTGTGGCTTGTGACGACAGCGAGGTGCAGGTAGTGGCTGCGGCTTGTGATGGAGATTGGTTCGGCGAGATATACAGTGGTTTGGCAGCGACTTGTGATAGGTGCATCAATGGTGATTGTATGTGTATCTGTATGGGTCTGTGACTTGATGTGTATGTGTATGTGTATGTGTATGAGTATGGTTATGTTGTATGATTCAATGAATTTAAAAGATAAATTCAAAGGGATTCAAACAATACGATTCAAGGATGGCTCTGATACCATCTTGAAATTCAAGGAAAGAATATGAGAATCAAAACTCAATTCAATTATTATTCACGATGGTGTTACATTCAATTTATAGAGTCATATCTAGCTAAAATAGGTAACTAAATATACAATAATCGGGAAACTAATTATCTACCAATTGGTCCTAAATTAAGGAGAAAATAATGTAATCCTACAGCTGTACAATCTGTATAATCTCGGATTACAAAAAATAAAATCTCAACAGTGTTTCAGTCACTGCTCCTGTGAGCTGTACACCGGTATGCTTCATGTCCCTAGACGGTAATAAGGAATAAGCTCACGAGACCCACTTGGATGACAAACCGCAAAGCTCAAAACTGATTCTGGCGATTGAGCCATGACGTTGGCGACAACTGAATTAAGAGCAACCCAATTTCAGTTCAGCAATGTCCCAAGAGAACTCAACCCACTTCGGCAACATCGCTAAACCAACGGGAAAACACACATACTCCGACAAGCTTTCAAGCAACTGTGTTGGTTACGGTGACTATGCTTAAGTCGCAAGCATCGGCAGTGATGGTGTCTCCGTCTCTTCATCTCTCTTTCCGGGTCTGGGAGTAAGAAAAAAAAGACATCTAGAGGCGGGCAGATGCTCGCCGGACTGAACTGGGTTTGGTCGAAGAGGACGGTGGTGTTACGGCAAAAGTTAATGTCGTAGGAGTCGTCGTCGTCGGAGCTTCTTGTCGTGTTGTCTCCAGTATTCACCAAAACAATGTTGCACTGGTGTAAGTTTTCCTTATTACATAGAACATTTAAGATTAATCATTTAGATGAAATTATTCCATGGCAATTTGCTTAATGCCTAATCTATTGGCGAATGCTTGGTTTAATTGAAGTAAAAAGCTTCTCAATTTTATGATCATTCATCATCAAGCTTTTGCTTTGTTCAAAAAATGCTGAGATGTAATATGCCTAGCATTCTTTTTCTTTTACTGCTTAAGCTAGTTATTACCATAGAATGAGTCAAATATTGGTTCATGCTACAATCAGAGACTTCAATGGAAACAAGTTGTAGTTCAAATGCATCATTAGTTCGAGCTTATAGATTTTGATTTTTACTGAATTTAAAGAAATGTTAGCTTGGGTTGAAAATTTCGTGCGGAGACATTTTGTCGATTTTCAGATCGACGATGTGCAGCTATGGATGACACGGGTTCTTATCATAGCCGCCGTCCTCCTTTACGAGCTTTGCCTGACTGAATTGAACTTCACCGGACTTAGAGTCGCCATCCGACTTGGGTGAAACAATCTTTAACAAGTTACATCATGTGTACGTGTGTAGAGAGAGAGAGAGAGAGAGAGAGAGAGAGAGGGTCTTTTATGCACAAATGTTGAGGGTCTTTTATGCACAAATGGTGAAGGGCAAAATGGGAAATAAGAGGGTAAAATGAGATTTTCAGTTTTACTTTTTATAAAAAGTTGTCAGAGGGATCGTTATGCACCTTTTTTGAATTTTACGGATTTGCAACCACATTTTCAAAAAATAGGGACTAATTTTGCACAAAGTTTATATATCAGCGAATTTTTGCACTTAATCCTTGTATTTATTCTGAAACACATTCTCCAAAATCATCTAATTAATATAAATATATATATATATATATATATATATATATATTTGTAAACATACACACGGTACCGTCAAATTTTACTTGTTAAAATTTCATCAGGTATGTATGATGAGACTTGAATATAAAATTTTTATGGCCCGCATGATTCGCACACTAAATTGCAAGGTTACTTACGTAAAGATGATGAAGTTCTATTCTTAAAATTGAAGCTTTTGTGCTTAATATGTTGCATAAATGTTGATTTAACACATGGCATCAGGTAAAAAAACATAACACTCATGCAACATATTAAATGGTACTGTAATGTTGTTGTAACACCATTAAATCCTGAATTCAACAAATTTATGAAGTTGGAACTGGACTATCAAAAATAGTTAACACACAAATAACAATATGCGATAAACAATAATATTCCGTAGATACAAATAAAGAAATTACACATAATTTTAAATATCGGTCTAGAGGCTTGTGATTGCTTCTTGAAGATAGTCGGAAGTTGCAATCAAAATATCAAGCAGTAACACTATCTTCAAAATTCAACTAGGACATATTTAACAATTTGAATGTTCATAAAGTGTTACCATTGTGAACTCAGATATTCATTTTCGTTCAATCATTTGTCCAATATATAATTTTAGAAAATTATATCCACACACACACACACACACACACACACACACACATATATATATATATATATATATATATATATCGAGTGTAAAAGTTTGAAACTTTAGCAAATGGAATTGTTAGAATTCCTATACCAGAAAACTAATCAAAATTCTCAAATCCCATCTTTCAGAGTTTAAATGATCGTCAAAATTCAACCACGCCAGATTTAACAATTTGAATGTCCATAGAATATTATCTTTCGTGAATTTATGTATTTATCTCAATTCAATCATTTGTCCAAAATATAATACTCCTATTAAAAATTTATATTCAAACACATATATCAATAAATATATTTATATATATATATATATATATATATATATAAAATAAAATTATATAAACAATCTGATTGGTGATGATGTTTATACATATATTTTATCTTTATTTATATATATATATCACAATGATTATATGTGTTTCTTTTCTTGAGAAGTGTATAAATATATATTTATATATAAATAATCATGATATTCAGATTCACTAATTAAATTTATTTATCAAAGTAAAAAAATTAAACACGTCTAGTTTCAGACAACTAATAGGTTTGAATATTGTGCTGTATTAAAAAGATAAGTATGCATTGTCTTATGTTCCTTTATATGAGTTTTGGTGCTAGGTTTCATTCAATTTTTTCCTTTTAGGTCTTCATTGGTTGGACTGTATATCTAAAAATATGTAACGTAATATCAAAAAGATAAGCAAGCATTATCTTTTGTTCCTTTTTAGGAGTTGTGGTGACAGGTTTCTTTCAATTTTTTCCTTTTAGGTTTTCATTTGTTGGATTGGATATCTAAAATAATTTAAATAGTAAAAGATAATAGTAAAAGTAAACCAAGTGGACCAAACCTACCCTCTCACATATCGGGTGTGAGATCTTTCATGTGTGGTGACTGGTGAGGCTCTTACCTCATATGGGTAGAAAATCCGCATAATTAGTCAAATATTTTTTTTTTTCTTTCAAATAATAATAATAATAATTATAACATCATTGGATCAATAGAGAGAAAAAAGAGAGCGATTTGAAAACAACATCGAGGTCTTTAAAGGACCGAATCCTTTCTCGTAACAATTTTTTACTATGGTAAAATTTACTAACCGTGAAAAATAACGGGAAATCATTATGAGAGAGAATTTAACAATTTTTTACTGTAGTGAACATTTGAAAAATAACGGGAAATCATTATGATTTTAGTGTTTTTAAGCTCCCAATGACTAATCATATTCTGTAAGTACTAGGCCATGACTTTTGATCTTGCAAATGTTCTGCAAGAATACCCTCACCTCACTGTAGTTTCTTAGAAAGGTAAAAAATGTTGTATATAGATGTACTTTTACTGTTCGGTTGTATGAATTTGAATTTTTAAGTTTTGAAATTGAAATTGGTGAAATTTAAAAAAAAACAACTTAGAAAACTGAACAAATTTTTTCTCAAATTCCATGCAACCAAGCACCCTTCAAAAATTTCTGCAACTTTTTTTGTTATATGCTATAAGACGATGTGACATGCACTTTCAACCCATTTGGCTCTACACTCTTTAACGGTGTTTAATGGGGAGCAACAATGCAGTGGTCTTTTTAGTAATTTAAACCAGCAAACAAAATTTTGGCACCAGAAGGTGAAATTTAAGATTAAAAACTACTCTTCATTCTTTTTTTTCGTTTTTTTTTTTTTTTTTTTTCTTTCGGGCAGATCATATACTATATGCTATTGCTTAAGCTTCCTCTGGTGCAAAATTGGACCAAGGGAAATCAAGCATCTTGAACAGGTAGAGAGAGAGAGATCTGGGAATATTTAAGTATAACAGAGAACACATGTTTGAATAAAAATTGAAAGCTGTCACTCCCAAAAAAATTAAATGAATCATGACAAAGATTCATCACCCATAAAAATATTCATTTAAGATATAGAGAAGTTAATCTTTCTACTTTCTTTTCTTTAAAAGAAAAATATTACATCTGAGGTCCAAGAGGCAGCCTATTCATAATTTGATGATAAACAGATGATCCATTGGAGAGGTTCACACCAGGTTCTGACAGAGGCTCCAACTTTGGTTCTCCTTTTGGCAACATGAACCCCATTTCATTCACCGGACGTTGCTGTCCTAAATAATAGGACTGAACCGGCAACTTGCCTTGGTTGGGACCAAACCCTGCCATTGCCAGATTGGCCAGCCCTGGTTGGTTCATTCCGAAAGAGAAGCCATGGGAAGGTCCTAGCTGCTGCTGCCTTGAAGCCAGCCCAAATGAACCGAGCATGGGAGGCCTTTCGAACCTTGCCATGCTGTTAGGAACTTGAGATGGCTCTGGCCTGTGAAGATGGGTTTGAGCAGAAGATGCAGCACCACCGGCCTGGGTAGGGCCACTGCTCTGGCCTCCAGAGTTCAGGTGACTGTTGTTACGAGCAGCAGGAACATCATGGTTGTGCTTCCCCTCGTAAGTAGTGATCACCGACTTGAGGTCATGCGATGCCCTCTCCACATGCTTTCTTACTGTGCAGCCTGCACTGGTGCACTTGTAGTAACTCCTGCATTATAACCACAACAAATCATTCCTAATTCAGCCATACAATTTATGATATTACCTCGCAGTATGCTTGTATGAAAGACACAAAAAGAAGCTCAGGATGACCTTGGATTTGGATTTCCTTTCACAACTTTCTGCCCGTACTTGCGCCAGCGATACCCATCATCAAGGATATCCACCTCACTGGTTGTTTGGACCACTACTCTAGGCTCCCTAATAGCTCTGCTGGCCCCACTCATCTCTGTTGCATATGCTTCAATTTTCCTACAACATAAAAAAAAAAACATAAAAGTATTCTCTGATTATTTCATCACTATTTAATAGAAATCATTCAAAAGCATATATATAAAAGAGAGGAATAGCAACCTTCTCTTTGAGTCAGATTCATCCTCTTCACCATCATAACCTAACGATACACTACCATGCGTCCCACGGTCATCCTCATCATCATCATTAGAAAAAGTAGATGAACCATCCACTGCATCACCCGATTCAAATTGCGTGCCATTCTGAGCTTGCAAAGGGGATGCATCATGGTAGTCAGGGTCCGCTGATGCTAACGATGTCACCTCAAGGTTGTCCTGCCTCCAATCACGGGCTCCACCAGCAGTTCCTTTTTGCATGGTTGCCCACATTGGATCACCACCAACCCCAATCTGACCCCCAGTTTGATCAGGCATGTCAAGTTGCATATCACTTAGTGGATTTGAGGATCCAATGGCTGATCTGCGATTGGGTTGAGGTTTGGAGTGGTTGTGGGCCCCCTTGTATATGATCTCTGTAATATGGCCCTCATGAGATCGTTCCACTTTCTTCTTAACTGGACAATTTGGATGAGTGCACTTGTAATAACTTCGTGGATACTCACTACCTTTCACTTGTTTCTGTCCATATTTTCTCCAGTTATACCCATCCTCAGATGGGGCACCACCAACCATGGTATCTCCAATGCCTCTTTGATCCGCTTCCTCCTCGTGTTGCTCATCAAGTGGTGGAGAATGTTCTGCACTTCCACCCACGGTGTCAGAGGCCCTTGGTTCTGACATGATAGTATTACCCCTGGCATCTTTCTCTGCGGATGATCTAGTAAAGTCAGCCTGAAGATGAAGCGTGGTTCCATTTTGAGAGTGAACCTTGGCAGGTTCAACTCTTTGAGACTGAAGAGAACTATCTGCCTGAACAGAAACCTCAATATTGGGAAAGGATTGCTGAGGAAGAAAGGAAAAAAGCACTTAGAGAACAGAAGAACGGGTAACTTTTTGGTTTTTTTCCCCTCTATATTTCAATGCAGCTCAATCTGAGCTTCTCATTGAGTGCAGCAAATATAGTCTTGATTAGTACCACAATACATTGGAGTTTGTGTACTGCGTGAGTGTGTGTGTGGATTCTATGATGGGTTGATGGTATAGTATTTTCCTTCCACAATTATTTTATTTATTTATTTTGATAAGTGCCTTTCACAATTTGAAATGCAGAAAAAAATAAATTGGGAGAAAATTACTTTGCTTGCTGCACCAAGAAATAGAGATGGAACAGATTCAGCAACAGGCTTGAATGCAAAGGATGAGTTATTTATATCCTCAAGGAAATTATCTTTGCTTTTATCAGAAGTCTCTGTCATGAACATAGAGCTTCTGCCGCTACCATTTGGGACAAATGAGAATTTTCCTGTCGTTGGAGATGGTTGAACCTGCAAGTAACAAGTTTCAGAAAAAAAAAAAATAGTAAAGACGAGAACAATACAACTGAGCTCCTTCAACTTTCAGTATAACCATTTGTCCTGGTCCATGCAATCTGAATTAAAATTTATCCAAACTTGAGGAAAAGTATTAATGAGACATTCAAGGACCCAAACATCCTGAACTAATTTTTGAATATCATTTCACATAACCAGCTCGGCCAATATTCCATGATGCAATAACTATAGAAACAAAATCTTCTATATGACGCGCAAAATCCTCTCATAAACAACTGGCACACTACTATTAAGAAGCTAAAAATACAAAACCGTCTTTCCACCAATAACATAATATGTTTATGCTAACATGAGCTGCAACGACCCACTTCACCACATGGTATGATATTGTCCGCTTTGGACCTGAGCCCGCACGGTTTTGCTTTTGGACTTTACCCCAAAAAGCCTCATACCAATTAGAAATAACACCACCACATATAAGCACTTCACCTTTCCCTTTCCCAGGCGATGTGAGATTGTGCACCCATAGCTCGCCCAGTGTGGTAGCCTGCCAGTGTCTCGCACCCGCCCACGGCACACCCGCCCACAGGGTCATCACAATCCAACCCCCTTAAGGCCCGACGTTCCCGTCGGCACACTTCCGGTTGGGTCAGGCTCTGATACCATTTGTAACGACTCACTCCACCACATGGTATGATATTGTCCGCTTTGGGCCAGAGCCTGCACGGTTTTGCTCTTGAGCTTTATCCCAAAAGGCCTCATACCAATTGGAGATAATACCACCACATATAAGAACTTCAGCTTTCCCTTTCCCAAGCGATGTGGGATTGTGCACCTGTAGTTCGCTCAGTGTGGTAGCCTGCCAGTGTCTCGCACCCGCTCACGGCACACCCGCCCACAGGGTCATCACACAAGCATTAGAGAGTAGCATGGCAAGCAACATCTAATTTAAGACTTCAAAATTCAAGCTTCCACGCAATTGGAAAATATTAGACCTCACTTGGTATCAATTTTCAACTGCATCCAAGAGCTTGAAGGAAGCACACTCCGTGGTCCAATTCAAAAAGTTCCTTGGTCGAATGAAAAATTGCAGGTTCTGACCATCACAAGAGAGAAAACATCCACGCATTCCTTGGAGCTTGTCAAAACTAAACTTCTCAAGAAGCTCTCAATAAAAGAAGATGGCAAGAACTGGTAAAGGGCACATTTATATCTCCAATTGAAATTAAATGTCTCCATTTAGATAGCAGTTGAAGGTCCATTTTGTCCTCCAAATAGGATCGACCAAACTGAATTGTTTTATCAACTTTATCTCTCTCCCTAAATCTAGTTACATTACAGCTTCTTAATAGTACTTGGTAACTGGGCCTGTGGCACAAATTGAGAAAACAACTCGACTGAAAAGATGTGATGCTGTATTTGACTAGTTCAAAGACTAACTTTCTCAACTGAAATACAACTCCAGCTCTAGCATGAAGAGAGGAAAAAACACAAAAAAGGAGGTTTGACTAATCCTTTCTTTTATTAAAAGAAAAAAGAAAAGAACATCGCAAGGGGGAGATGAAAATTACACAAAAACAAACGAACTTGTCAAACCAATTCCTTGGAGCTTGTCATGACCAAATTTCCTATAAAACTCTCAATGACAATAAGATAAGGTGGCAAGCATTGGTAAGGGAGAATTTATATATCCCTTGAAATTAAATGGCTTTATTGCACTTCAAATAGAATTTGACGGTCAGTTACATCAACCAAAATGGGCTCAAATAAAGAAGATGGAGCCACATCATAGAACTATATGTGGGTTTTGAATAAATTGCTTTAATTAATTATAATAATTTAGACAATAGCACCATTTTCTTTAATGACCCCAAATAAGAAAGACATACTCACCAACAGGCCTGTGGCCTAGCGGTACCACGCTCCTACTTTCCAAAGGAAGGTCAGGGGTTTGAACCTCAGTGGAGGCATGTGTGTGTAAGTACCAACTAGGAAAAAAAAAAGGAAGACATACTCCGGAACCTTTTTTTTTTTGTTACACTAAAATGACCCAATTCCTTTTCTCATTGAGAACTCTTTTTCTAATAATCAATTAATTGGCCTTGTATGGTGATTAGTGATTGATTTTCTAAGCTTAACCTAGAAAATAGATCATTGTTATTAAAAGTATTATCTCAAATTACAAGTCAAAGTTCAGGTTTAGTTTGATGTTTCTAACTAAAAAATTCTCGCTCACTTACAAGGAACAAGGACAAGAAAGAACAAGCTACCTGAATATGCTAGAAAGAGCATCTCGGTAATATGTTTCTTTCTAATACATCCAAGTATAAATCAAACAAAAATGTTGGATGCCCGACTATAATCGCAAAACCCATAAATTGCTTCCCACACAACAAATATGCATTGGTTTTTGTTCGTTGACCCTTTTTCAGCTCCTTTGTCAGCATATCTTTATATAAATCCCATTACCCTATGATCTTAATTTCAGTAAGGTAACCCTAAGACTAGCCCATTGCGTTAGCCAACTCCGACTGCTTGTATATACTGCCAAGACATAGAGACTTGATACAGGACACCCCACAAAAGAAACTTTTGATGGGCGAGTACTTTAAAAATGTAAACCAAATGATACCCATAAATTAAGCTTACCAGTGAATTTGAGAGAAAAACAGGAGATTCTAGCAGGGCTGTTGGACTAAGACCAGGGGAAATTGTGAAGTAAGGAGACCGTACATCCGAGTTTAGTGAAAGGTCAGCAGATCGGACACTTTCCGTATTCAATCTCGGAGCATTGAAACCAGCTCTGGCTGCTATCCTTTCCGAAAGTCCTCCACGTGAGCACAATTTCTGCTCAGAAAATGCACCTAATTTCGTCAAGTGATCACCATCTACATCGGCTCGTAACTCGTCTTTTTCATCCGCCTTTCCTGACACAATCTGCTCGTCAAATCCTGGAAAGAATGTGGCGTTCTTATTTTCCATGTGAGGTTCTGAAATTGATCTTGCGCCAATATCATCACCCAGCATTGATGAGAAAAATGTTCTCGGGCTTGGACTAGGAGCCCAATCTCCAATTATAGCGCCATGATCATCAAACCCACTCATGACAACCTGAAGTGCCCTCCCCTCAGCTGTTATGAGCTTTTAAATTCAGGCCAACTATGAAATCAAGGTGACGTGCAGAGTAGATGAAATCCTGAAAGATTGGGATTATAAGCAAAAAGATATCCAGATCAACTTTGAGCTCAATGATTTTAGAATAAGACATAAAAATAAATAAAGAGAGAGAGAACAACAGAATCACACTTTAGGGTTACAGCAAAAATCTTGCCCTGAGGAGATCAAAAGATTCCAATCTTTCAAAGAATCGTTTATTTTGATCTAAAAATTTCAAACAAAAGAAAGCAACGACAAAGAAACAAAATTTTATCTTTAGTGACGAATTTCTTTCCAAAGCTAGTAGAATACACAAGACAGATTTTGATTGTGTTTTGTAATAGAATATTCATTAATAAAATTGGAATCTTCAAGGAAAAACTTTTTTCCTGGAAATATTTCAAGTAACATTCTCAACCAAAACTGACGAGTTCGAAAATTGCATGAGAACTGACAGAAGTAATATCTGCTGCAACACATAAAAGAATTTTCTCAAAAGATACCCTATCAATCAATTCTCCTCCTTCCTCAACCAAACAAGGATCTTTTTCCACATGAACTCATTTAAGGCAGTAACTAAACTAATTGGCTAGTTTCTAGAAACACATGTGCATCTATATTACAAATTTACAACAGAACACTCACCTCCACCTCCACCTTCACAAACATGTAAGACTCTAGATTCATTAAGCACAATTTAGGGCAATCCCATAAAAAAAATTAAATGATCAAATAAACTTTTCCAAATTGTCTAGTTTCCTTTGCAAAACAAAATTTGTATCAGGGCCAAATGGAGTATACAACTGAAGATTATCAACAATGTTAAAAAGATCTAAAATAGCAACTCATCAACAAAGTGAAACCCATTTATCCTTTTAATTTAGGGGGTCAAATCAATGACTCCCATTTACAAAAATATCCTAGAACCCATTAAAGATCTATATGAATAGAATTCGAAATCACCAAATTGGAGATAAACAGAACCCAAAATTTCTTTACATGGGCCAACAAACAAACATACAAAAGGCGATACCTGAAATTGGAGATGCAATCTATTGATGATCCAGATAATAAAATTCCCATATTAATACACAAAAACAAAAAAGTAGTAGTGAATGAGAGCAAGAAAAGAAAACCCAATACAGGACTCATCATTAAAAAAATGATGACCAATATTATTAGGTATGTACCTGAAAAAAACCCACAAAGAGGGACAGTCAAAGCTAGGATGATATGAAGGAGACCCTTCTCTGACCTCCTCTGATTAATTTCTGCTTAATGGGTTTTCTTCCTTGTAGACTTTCTTCAATGAAAAAGAAAAAACGTCCACCTTTCTCTCTCTACCCTTTCTCTCTCTAGATTGCTTAGCGGAATATGATTGATGATGGGAAAATTGCGAAAGAAACAAAATGAAAAGAGAAAGTGGGGGTGGGTTTGTGGGTTATGGTGGACCAGAAATGGATGGAATCTTTGAAGAGAGAAGAGAGAGAAAAAGAAAAAAAACACACACATTTATGATTTTATCTCTCCGTTCATTTGATTTAATAATTTTCATTTTAGTTACTAATCAAGCAGATGTTTTTGGGCTGGGCTTTTTATACTAAAGCCCATTTGGCATCATTGGGCCCTCCTGCCATTTTGACCAGCCAATGAAAAGCTGTCATATGGTCCCTCTTATGTTGACTGACATGGGCAGTTTTGTCTTAGAATTGTGTTGGATATGATTTGTTTCATATATGGTAACTGTATAAATTGCAGGTAATTAACTCCATGAAACAAACTTTTATAGCAAAAATAAATACAAGTGTAACATTAGGGTGTCAGCTCTAACTGCCAACCACGTATACTTCATAAAACTAACAAGTTCACACCACCACTACTAATTAGGCTTGACCTGTGCGTGTAATTAATTCATATAAAATTTTAATTTTATTATTTAATAATATTAAAACTTAATTTTATAATATAAAATATCTAATATTCATTTATGTCACATAAAATGGGAATAGGAACAAGAGCGAATTCGAAAGTAGGAATACGAAAACGACAAAATTAAGTCATAAATAATGAAAGAATGAGTATCAGCACACGCGCATTGTGCAAGAGAAAACGCGTTCGGAATATGAGAGCGGTATTGTTGAGAATAATTGTGTGACTCAAGTATTTATTATGGATATTATACTATAATATTAATTAGAATATACTTATTTATTAAATTTATATCATATTAGTTAATTATATATTATTATATTAGTAATTCTTCTTGTTGATTAAATGATGATAAAATTTAAGTCTAGGTCCAATTTTTTTTTTTTTTTTTTTTTTTTTTTTTTTTTTTTTTTTTTTAATGTCACCCCATTTAATGTAGGACCATAATAAGGTAATAGTAGTAGTATGAAATAATAAAAAATGATAAAATTAAGTCTAGGTTCATTTTTTTCTTGTCTCCCCCATTTAATGTAGGACCATAATAAAGTGGAGAAATAGTTAGCCGATTCAAATTTCAAATTAAATCTTCTCACTTTTAGTGTATTAATTGTATGATGTCATTATCGTTACTCAGTTTACGTTGTAGAAATAAAAGACATACCTAAAATTTGATATAATGTAAGCACAAATATAATAATATATACACTATTAATTTACCATAGTAACATACTCAAGATTTGTAAATACCTTGATAATTCAGTGGATTAATACTTTTGGTGAATTTTAGAATGTCTCTACATCTATTAATCTAAATTCTAACATTTCTTACCTTGTATATATATATATATATATCCCCCACTAAAATTTTTTATTATTATATTTTATACCCTTAATTTATTATTTATTTATTATTTTTTTTACATTTATACCCATATAATTTTAAAATTGCCCCAACTGAAATTATGAAAAAAACCCTCTATATAAATTACCCCCTCCCTCGTATAAATTCTTAGATCCATCTGTACCAAGATTTCAATTTTCAATCCAAGAAAATAATATTGCCCTTCGCTATACACTTTCATACCACCTTTTTAGAAAAACAAAATGACACAACTGTCCTTCATAAATACTCATTAGTCCACCTTTGAGGGGGACAAGATTGTCATTTCATTTGTCAAAATGTCGTCCAAGAGTAACAAAAAGTGAAGTATCAGTCTATCATATTCACCAATTATATTTTTATTTTGATGCTCTAAAAAAGTCACTTCATATCATCCATTCATTTTATTAAAATATTATAAAGACAACTTAGACAAGAATGTGCCTCTATTTTGTTTGAATAATTCACAGAAAGATATAATCGAATTTATATATATATATATATATAATCGAATTTATTGAGAACCTGATGAACTGTACACACTGCATAATATCAAATTAAGACTCCACTTGGCAACATAGTCTTAAATTCTTAACCAACAATGAATAAACCAATCAATCGGTCAGAGATTTAGGAGTCAGTCAAGTCCGTTAGACGGTTCTACATTGTGGATGATTCGGAGCCTCCAAGATAGATATAATATATATATATATATATATATATATTATAGAGAGAGAAACAAGGAAACATTGAACAGTATATAGGTGTCTAGCTATATTACGTGTAGATTGAAAAGGACAAAAAGAGAAACAACTTAATTGAGACCATTCATTTGGAAGAATGCATGTGGAATTAGAATGGGATTAATTTATATTAGTTTGGTTTTTCTTTAATAAAGTTGTATTTATTTTTATAATAAAAAAGTAATTTGGAATACTAATCGTATCTTCCAAAGTCTATGTTAGTCTCTTGCTATGATATTTTTCTTTTTGTTTTTCTGGACTTGAATGCGTGTTGCCTACTATGTACAGTTGTCCCATGGATTACTGTTTAATGTATTTAATGGTGTCTATTCACCCACCATTATAAAAGGCAAAATCTATATATATATATATACTACTACATAGTATTATATTAGAAATATTTTTATATATAAATTTTTACTTTTTAAATACATTTTTTAAAATTTTAAGTTACTTACATAAATTACCTTTTTAAATATTAATTTACTGAGTTATTATTCTTTTGTACTTTTTTTCTTCATAAGGAGATCGTTATTCAGCGATGATGACGACGAAGATTTCGAATTGCTAGTTAGTTTAGCATTTTCAATTTGTTGTTGTTCCATGAATTACTTAGCTACTTATATAAGTCATTTTTAATGTTAATTTATTAATACTTTATTTTTTAAAAATTTATTTTGTCGCAATAGTAAGATTGCTCAATCGGTTTGAAATTAAACAAATGTCACATTTATTTTTACCATCTAATATTATGTAAATGTTTTATTTTTTATATATACATTCTTAAATTCATAAACTAGATGGAAATACATAATTTTGAGTTGAATAAAGAGTTACAATTATATATCAAATACATACTTTCTCATATTTTAAGTAGAAAATCAAGGATTCAAATCTCGTAAGAGTAAAACTGTGACTTTCTCGACAATATATATACATTAAATAAATAAACTCAGAATTTTTCTCTAAATAAGATAATTCACTCAAACTTATTTTCTCTTCTAGAATTTTAAAAGAAAATATATAATTTATATTTATTTATTCTAATATTTCACATATGAACATAAAAAGTATAATCATATGATATATATAAGTAGATATACACATATACACAAATATATGTTCAAAGTCACGACAGATCCAAAATGTGGCATCAAAGGATAAGAAGTTGCTAGCAATCTGCCAATTGAGAGTATGACGCACGAACATAATCCCTACCTGTATTATGAAGAAAAAGAAGTACCATTATCATTGACAGGTAACAAACACATTATCAGTCTCCTCTCCATGTGACACACACTGAAATTGTATATATATATATATATATATACGAGTATATCCACAGAACAGACAGTTTTTAATTGTCTTTTTTCATCCCTTTTCTTTTAGTATTTATTTTTTCTTATCACCGACCCAGTCAAAAAAGATGCCTTGACTAAGTCTTTGTCTCTAGCTATTCTCTCTTCACAGTGCTGTTACCAAATAAGGGTGGAGCAAGTAAAAGGTACAAAATATCATAAAACCATGTGAGATTTATAATGTATTAATCTTTCTTAATGGTGTCTAATCTCTTCTTCTTTTATTATGTGTACTCTTTTCTTTTTTCTTTTTCTTTTTCTTTTCTTTTTTTTCACTATGCTAGTTTCAAAATGTTTTATATAATAAGACATTTCTTATAAATTTCTTTGTGATCGATATATATATGTATTTATTTGTATAAAAATTTGATATATATGTACGTAGTACACTCGAGGTGTGCATGTATGTAATATGCATATGTGTTATTAATAAGCATTGCTCCAAATAGTATGATTTTAAGAGTAATTTATAATTGTGCGCTCGTCCTTTCACTTTAAAAGACAACGAAGAGTCACTAGGCTATATATGTTTATGTGTGTTTACTGTTTATAGGTATATAATACATAATACAATATTTTGCTTTTCATGCTTGAAAAAATGAAACAACCACCGAAAGAAAAATAATGACAAGCAAATGTAGAAAAAATAGAAAGTAGGCTTATGTTTTTGTTTGTGTGTGTGTGTGTGTGTGTGAGAGAGAGAGAGAGAGAGAGAGAGAGAGAGAGAGCCAAAACAGCCTATCGCTGTCATCTTAGTCAAAAATATACTACGAAAGGGTCTCACCTTCTTGGGGAATTCCGGAAATAAAGGGAAGGCCAGGTTCCAGGTTCCAAACTTTGTAATTAACTGGTCTTCCAGTCAATGGGACCATCCTTCAACACAGAATATGGGCCTGATGGGCCCCCAAAACACATGGTATACCTGGCCCGGGTTTCAGACTCAGGAACTAGGGAAGGTTTCAAGCCATTTGCTGGGCCATGGCCCATGAATTATAAGGTTTCGGACTTACCCCAGAGATGAGGCCTTGGTGGGGAGGCCCATTAATGTTTACCTGATGTTGCTGCATTAGGAATTATTATTAAGGTTTCGGACTTACCCCAGAGATGAGGCCTTGGTGGGGAGGCCCATTAATGTTTACCTGATGTTGCTGCATTAGGAATTATTATTATTATTTTTTTTAGTTCGTACTTACACATACACGTCTTCACTTATGTTCGAACCCCTAACCTTCCTTTGGGAAAGGTACCGCTAGACCACATGCCTGTTGGTTCTACATTAGGATTTAATTTATGGACTATTGTAATGGTGGTTGGTGAATAGTGGCTACACTGAACCACTGCAAACACAAATTCTTGCTGTCCAAGCTTGGAAAATTTGCAACTACTAAACAGCAAATAATTAAACTGGGTTAAGCCTAGTATTGCAACTTTCATGCTTGGTTTGCTAAATTTGATGAGCTAAAACTTGTAATGGCCCACGTTTTAAAATGCTCGAGTATAGACGCGTTTTGATAACTGATAGGGAAAAATATAAACCTACCCTCGATAAGATTGATTATATTTCATTATCAAAGATAATGAAATCTACAGGGTAAGAATAATCCTATCATAGTTGGAGGAGGTCAAAAGGATTATTCATATCCCCGACAAATCTGGCAACAAATCTCCTATGATCTCGCACAAGCGGGAGATAAGATCAACCAACATTGGAGGAACCAATTGAATTCCAATCGACAGCCATAAATAGGGCACCAAGCCGTTAAAAAGGTATGAGAAAAAACTCCTAAACAAAAAATACATAATTATTATGTGATACGATTACAAGTACTAACTTGATCATCGGAGGGTCCTTGGCTGGCACCCCACCGATGCCATTCGAAGTGACGTCCCTTTGTTTTGCAGGTAAACGCCGTCATTCTGAGTCGTGAGGATTTACGCATCAACAATAACCATGAGCATTTGTGTACTGCAAATCAAGCAGTACTCTGTACATGGAGAAGGTATTGGGTGCGCCCAGTGCACCGGTACGTGTTGTGCATCGTACGATTCAGATGAACCAGTGCACCAAATACCTTGCGCAATAAATATCTATTTCTACACACCATGGCCAAGCACCAAAATAGGGTGAGGTGTTTTTGATTGAGACTTAGTGCAAGATTTGAGAAAATCAAGTAGTGCCTCATTTCGAAAAGTACCCCCCATTATATGCTTCAAGAATAATTGTTTCTCATATGATGTTTGGTCATTATCAATAAATAATTGTTTGTAATATTGAGTTGGTCATTATCAAGAAAGCTTGATTAGAAATGACATTAAAATGAATTCGAAAAGCTCTCTAGGAGCTGTTCAGCCAAACAGCAGACAACTGCTCAAACTTTAAAAACTGGACTGAAGGACAGAGAAATATAAACAAACAAAACTTCTAATCAAAGACAAACAACAATAAGCAATACCATATAATCATTGTTTGCCATTTACCAAAGCCTAAAACTTAGAACACATAAGAAAAGCAAATGAAAATAAAATAGTGAATCTTCACATACCTACAACAAAATATATATATATATATTTGGGTGTGGAAGACACTCTGGTCTTAATGACTTTATTTCACCAAGAGGCACCAAAGGTATAGTCTTACTAATGATGAGAGTAAAAGAAAAGGCATTAACTAGTGTTAGTCTCCTCCTATATGTGGAGTCTTGGGAGCAAAAGATTAGAGATAAACCATTTTTTTTTTTTTTTTTGGCAAACTAGGGGGAGGGGGATTCGAATATGGGCACACTCGTTCGGGGAGCTATTGGGTAATGACTGAGATAAATCAAACATTTAACAATATTTTTGCAAAAAATGACTACAGTATAGCCCAACGTTGTGTCCTCACACTTGTCAAACTAAAATTTTACGTCATTCAAGCAATGATCCTTCCTAATAATAATAAAAAGTCTGAATAATTAAACAGCATTTGCAGGTAATTAAGAATTCCATTGAACAGAAGAGGAAATAAACTACAAAGAACCTACAGTCAAGCTGTCCTTTGATCAAGCCTTCCCTATAGACTTTTCTAACATCCACCAAAAGCTGGGAAAATGCAGCTCCCAGCTGAAAGGGGCAGTTAAACAGCATTTGCAGCTCTAGCTGCTGTATGAGCAATGATGTTATTATGCTTTCTAGGTGATGCCAAAATTTAGTCGATGACAATCTAGACTGAAACAAGAGGTTATGCTTTAATATCAAATTCACTTGACAGTCCTCAAACTATCTGTTCTGAATGTCTTGAACAGTACCTGTTGCATCACTTAGATCGCTTCCTGGCACTCAAATTCCATAGCCATCCACAAGACTAGTCTAAATGATCCCGGATGCTTCAGCTTGCTTTGGTGATCTAGCTTGGAACTGCTTCCCTTTGAATTCTAAAACACTCCATCAGCTTGAGAAGTGCCAGAAAACAGGTGGCCGGTCTTCCCCTAAGAAAAACACAGCATTCCAAAACACAATCCAGTCAACCAAGAGTAATCCTTTAACTGTTTCATTCATTTTCAGATATTCCATGGGAATGCAATTGAAATCTAGGTTACAGAATCTATTTCTCATTCCAAAGTGTGCATGAGAAAACCATGTCATTAAAACCTCCCAAGGCTGAGATGTTAAAATTTTGAATAACAAGTTCTAGCTTGAAGCCCCATTTTCAGAATTAACCACTCACCCGGAGAACCATTAATCGATGCTGAATATGGGAACTTATTTTCATCAAGACAGCCGCAAGAAAGTCCCACTCAACATTATCATATGCTTTCTGCATATCTAGCTTGAGGGGGCACAGCCTCATACATCATACCTATTTCCATCTTACAAATTATGTAGAATTTATGATACATAATGACAATGTCTGTAAATTGCCTCCCCATTTAAAAAGGGAAGATGAGACAACTTACAACCTCCTTCAACCTATTGTCAAACACCTTCCTAATTTTATATCATTTTTTTAAGGCTCTACCACATTCAGAAAAGGAACACAGAATTTGAAAATGTTAAATGAAAGGATCAAAATTTACCTGGAAGGCCATCAGGGAAAAGTGCTTTGAGAGATCCCCTCTGAAAGCTTGCTTCCTTGGCTTCTTCTCTTGTGAAAGGTTAGCACCTCTGCCCCATGGTCGGCTCAGTCTCGATACTGTCAACACCCTGCTAGAGCTCTCTGGCAAGGGCAAGACAGCTTCGGAACGTTTCACTGATAACCTTAGTGTTGGATGCATATAAAACAAGTTCCAAGAGCTGAAATGCCAATAAGGAGGGAAAAGAGTTCCTGAAGGTGACTCCACGAGATTCGCTATCTTTACCAATACATTATTCATCCCTACACAACATAAAGCTGTTAACCATCAAATAGGTAGAGATTACACAAACTTTTAATCTTACCAATTTCGAGCCACATCCCATCACACTTCATAGAGGGATCTCTTAATTTTAGGATCAACATGCAGTCATGTTTAACAAATTACTACATAATTTAGCAGGTTTGAAAGAAGAAACCAAAGAAGGGGGTAACATTTGCACTTTCTCAAATCATGTGCATTTTTATAATGAAGATGGGGCGGGCAGACAAATTGAAGTGCGTGGAAGGAGTCATGAAATTTATAACCATTCTGTACAATGTAACATATCCATGGTAGATTTAAGTTTTACAAACTGAAGAAAAAAAAAGGATGTACGACAGAGCTCAAAAATATCAACCAAATATCTCACTTAAAAGGCGAAGGATGCACGCACAGACCTACTTCCTTTCACAGCCCGAGAGGATTGGCTAACAAACACGCCAAAAGAAGCCTCTCACATCTTGAGATGATAGACATCCCAACAAACAAAAGAGGAATAGAACCACACTCACAAACTGGGATTAAACAACATCAAGAGAATTTTGCCCTTTTTTGGTTGATAAGCAATCAGAATCTAAATTTTGTTTTGTGCAATAGAGAGTCAAATTGGGCAGCATGTCTTTGGCTAACCTGGTAGATAGTATAGGAATAGTTACTCATCATTTTCCGAGTTCACCTGTATACACAAGAATAAGTAATAAATGCATATCCCTTGTATACAAAGTATAAACTGTACAATGTACACAACAATTTGCACATTCAAGAAAGTGCCATCACTTGAGTTGCAGAAATCTGTATCAGAACCTTTCTTGGCGCAGCAAGATCAGACTAAATTTAGGATATGGGCATATAGCTAAGAACAGGAATATGCTTTTCTGCAAATTGGATGATATAAAATGTGACCCTAATATTGTTTCCAGAATATTTGACAACACTCCATAAATAAATATCTTAATGTAAGATGGGAGTAACAGGAATAAAAAATATAAATAAATAAAAACCGAAAGAACACAATCTCAGTGGAGCAAGAACACGTTGCGATTTATAAAACCCTTATTTTTTACCTGCTATTTCCTCATGATCTTTTGTAAAGCGAAGCTATCAGCTCACATAACAATAAATAAAATTTCAGTATATTATCTTTAAAGTATTAGTGCTACATATTAAAAAAGAAGAAGAAGAAGGGATATTAACATCTAAATAGGTGACATCAAGTGATACACGCACTTGTCGGTTGTAATATGTTCTGTAGAGAGCTATTAGCGATCATAGTGTGCACCATTTTTTTCCTTGAAAAAGGGAGTGAGGGCAATGTCCAATGATGCCATCAAGAGTGATTGATCTAATGTGCCACACAAAAGGTGTTCCCACAAGATAATATAATAAATAAATGAATAAAAATTCGCAACACTAGCATGCAATAAAGCATTGTTGGCACATAAACAAAGACCAACTTCCAGGCTGCACCCATATCATGTTCCAGCAATTAAATATCTAGTAACTCCAAATAAATTCTATAATTTCCATATAATATAATAAACCATCTTTGTTCGTTAATTAATTATAGCGCAATGTTGATGTAAGTGAACATGATGCCACTTTTTAATTTCTAGGAACCAAATTGCTAAACCCAAAAAAAGGAGTAAAAAAAAAAAAATTTAAAAACAACAACTAAAAGCTTTACAAGAATCAGCATGCTTCTTATTGAGACAACAGGGTGAAGATTTCCAACAATCAACAAAGGGTAAATCCACCACAATTTCTCTGTTATTTAAGGCGATCATCAAAGTTTTAAGTTATCTCACGTCAATAACATAGCAGTTATATGATGCTTTTTTGTTCAAAAATCTGAAGGTCTAGTACATGACAAACCCTAGTCCTGAGTTAAGGTCTTCCAAAGAGCCATATATTATAGGTTTGATAACCATCCTAGGCTACCCACCCAAACAGAATTAGAAGTAGAACAAGAACAAGTGACATCACATTGTAATAAAAAATGAAATCAACTATAAGCCAGTCTGACAAGATATGACTAAACTTACCAAACTTATATACAATTCAACATGTACTTCACTAAATCAAGTTGCAGCTAAAACCTAATTCCCAACACCCTTCCTACTGAATTTTTTTAACAGTCCAAATCAAATCGTGATCGCATAATATCTGAAATCCCAACCAATTAAACCTTGATTGCAAATCAAAATAACCACAAATCTGAAATCCATAACAATCAGAGACTCTCTTCTACAATCTATGTTAGCCAAATAGCATTTCCCTTTTGTCTTCTTCTATTGTGCAAGGTAAAGGGCAGAGGGCCCTGCAAAAATTAGGAAACCAGGCTGGAGCAAGACGTGACTGTTTCCGAATTACCTTCACCAACATAAAAAGAAATTACGAAACATAAATAAGTTAAAAATGAGCGTCGTGATGCTCCCTAATAGTTGGGTATGTAAATCATAATTTTGAATCGCTCTCATAAGTCTGACCGACGGCATTCAATAATCGTTTGCAGTCACACGGGCACAAAAACCTAATTGCAATTGATAAATTTGTGATTCATTTTATAAAGAAAAGTTGTTGCTTACAAGCCTACAATTTTACATAATTAAAGCTATTCTCATTTCTCAAATTCTCGGACTTCTATTAACAATAACAATTAGGAACCGTAACAAACAAATTGCAACACTTCAGTCAGCAAAACTGTGACAGGAAACAGAAGCAAATGGCAAAGGAACAAAGGTTTTTAAGTATTGACTAAAAGACATGATGACCAAAGAAAATAAAATGGAGTTACCCCAACAAAAGCAATTGAGAACACCCCATTTGCTTGTTTTCCTCACTCTTTCCCATAACTTCTGTCTCCTTCAGTGCTCTATTATTTACAGTAAGAAAAATTTGAAGACCAAACCCTACTGCAATATAAGAAGTTCTTCTCACTGTAGGCACATCCGTGCAATCATGGCCTGGTCACGTGCAAGCTGACAAGATCAGAATCTTCCATGTCCAATTAGGCTCAGATGTATATCAACTTGATTCTTTTTCTTGTGATTCCTCTATTACTATATCTTTTGCCGAGAAGCCATCAAGGCTATCACTTTCTGAATCTACGTGAAGCTCTTTAAACATGGCCATCACCTGAATCATTGTTGGTCTCCGGAAAGGCTTGTCATCTAGGCATTGAAAGGCAATGTTTAGACATTGATATAGTTCAGCCTCAGTGGAATGATGTGTTAATAATTCAGAATCCAGTATTTCAAGGCTTCTCTTTTCTTTTAGAAGCTGTTTTGCCCACCCAACAAGATTGTTGTCGTCGCCAAACACCAAAGGATCTATTGGCCTTTTTCCTGAGAGAAGCTCCAGTAATACAACGCCATAGCTGTAAACATCCCCTTTAGTTGTGCACCTAAAACTTTGGTAATACTCTGGTGGAACATATCCCGGGGTCCCAGCGAGGGTGCTCACACTAAGATGAGTGTCAAGGGCATTCACCAATCTTGCCATGCCAAAATCAGAGACTCTGGCTTCGAAATTCTCATCTATAAGAACATTGCTGGACTTGAAGTCCCGATGAATAATGTGAGGTAAGCAGCTATGATGAAGGAATGCTAGTCCTCTCGCTGACCCAATGGCAATCTTCTTTCTTGCTGCCCAGTCAAGCTCTGAGTCCCGTCCTTTGGCCCTGTCATGAAGAACATCTTCCAGACTTCCCCACTTCATGTACTCATACACGAGAAGTCTCTCCTCTCCAATCTTGCAGTATCCCAACAACGGAACTAGGTTTCTGTGTTTGATCTTCCCAATGGTTTCTATTTCTGCTACAAATTCTCTGTCTCCTTGTCCAGTGACATGAATAAGCTTCTTGATCGCAACAACACAACCATCTTTCAATTGCGCCTTGTATACCTCACCAAACCCTCCAGACCCAATCAAGCTGTCAGCACTAAAACCATTGGTAGCTTCAAGTAGATGGGAAAAGGTCAGCTTCCGTAGAGGTTTCTCAAATGTAGCGACATTAATGCTCAGAGGCTCAGGAACACCAGAGAGTTTCCAGCTGCTGCTACCAGAAGTTGGAAGGCTTTCAATGTATTTGTCTCTCTTTTCCTCTTTTTCCTGGTTCAGTATAATCCTGTAAAGAGCCAATGTTAGCACGAAGATACAGAAAAGAGAGACAGCAATTCCAATGACCATCTCTGATGCCAAAGACTTCTTCTTCCTCTGGTAAAAGCCCGGTGGATGTCCCTTTCCAGAGCCACAAGGAGGCAATGGAACCCCACAAAGGCCTGTATTGTTCTCATATCTAGAAGCCGGGAAAGTAGTCAGCTGACCGCCTGAAGGGATAGGTCCTGTTAAGTTGTTGTTTGATACATCAAGGTCACTGAGAAATGAGAGACCCACTAATGATCCAGGGATGATTCCCTGAAGATTATTGTGAGAGAGATCCAAAACTCCAACATTCTTCAAGCCTCCAAAGCTGTATGGAATGTTTCCAGTTAAATTGTTGTGTCCCAAATTCAAGACATTCAAAAAGCTCATTGAACCAAAGTTTTCAGGAATAGTTCCTGACAAGGAATTGTAGGAGAGGTCAAGGTAAATCATGGTGCCGTTGCTTGTGAATGTATAAACCGTCACACCAGAGTATATTCGAGTTGAAGGGCAAGAATGAATCATAGGAAAGTTTTCTAGCCTTTCTGATCGAATTCCCTCAAATTCAACTAGTCCTCCAGCACCTCTGCAAGCTGTTCCACCCTCATTTCTCACAAATGCAAACTGCTTCCCAGAAACAAGTCCAGGAACAACTAGGCCAGTTTCATTGGCAAGCTCTGGTGGTATTGCACCAGTCAGGTTGTTGCTATTCAAGTCGAGCCAAATAAGGCTCCGGCACTTACCAAGCTCCAGAGGGATAGCTCCAGTAAGTGAGTTGTTACCCAATTGGAGGACAGCCAGGTTAAGGAGATTCCCAATACCTGAAGGGATTTCTCCAGTGAGACGGTTGCTGGAGAGCGATACCCAAATCATATTAGTACAATTGGTGATGGACAGTGGAATAGTTCCATTAATAAGATTGTTATTGAGAATCAGGGTCTGCAGATTTCCTCCTTTGACACAAATGCCTTCCGGGATTCCCCCCGTGAGGTTATTAGCCCACATTATCAAATCTGAAAGATTTGGCAAGGTCCAAATTTCCGAGGGAATCGAACCAACAAGATTGTTGAAACTAAGATCAATTGTTCTAAGGTTCCTGCAGTTTCCAAGCTCTGAAGGCAATGTACCCTTGAGATAATTGTTCGACAATAATAGCTTTTCCAAAGCTGAGGATGATGTCCTCGAGGAGCAGAAACCATAAGGTACATTCCCTGTAAAGGCATTAGAACTGAGGTCCAACACTCGAAGCTCGGTGTTGTTTGTCAATGACAATGGCACAGGACCAGTTATGTTATTGAAAGGCACATAGAGATACCTCAGACTTGGAAGAGAGCTGACAATGGTGCTCAGAAAATCGCCCGACAGCTGATTGCCACCGAGGTTGAGGCTGTTCAGCAAAGAGCACGATGCAAACGTCGAAGGAAGCCCCCCGCTAAGCCGGTTTCCGGAAAGATCAAGCACTTCAAGAGTACCACAAGTTTGTCCTAGCTCTGGTGGAATGTCCCCAAAAAACTTATTGTGGTCTAAATACAAATACCTCAAGCTCTTGAGCTTCCCTAACAACACCCCTGGAATCTTCAGACTAACCACATTGTGGCCAATGTCAAGACTCTCAAGCAGCTGGCAATTAGTCAGGCTCGCCGGAAACCCTACACCAGATAGGCCGTTATGCGAGAGATTGAGTGCTGTGAGGTTTTGGCAGCTCCCAAACTGCATACTAGAGAAGTTCCCAGTAAAGTTATTGTGTGAGAGATCGAGAAAGTTGAGAGAAGTCGGATAGTTGGCCACAAAAGCCGCCACCGGATTCTCACCGGAGATGCGATTGCAAGAGAGGTCAAGAGTCCATAGACTCCGGCAAGACAAGACAGTACTACCCAGTTCTCCGGCCAGCTTATTATCGGAGAAATTCAGCAGAGTCAAGCTCTGGCAGTTAGAGAGAGAATTTTCCAAAAGAGACCAATCCGAAATCCGATTTCGAGAGAGATCAAGCTGCAACAGAGAGGACCCAAATTTTAGATTCCCACCGGGGATCGAATTGCGAGAGAGGTTGAGAGAGATGAGACGATCACAGGAGAGAAATAGGGACTCTGCAGAGAGAGAATCAGAGAAGTTGTTGGAAGACAAATCAAGGGTCTCAAATGGGCAATACTTGGAAGTAGAAGAAGATAGGTCTCCTGAGAAGGAATTGCCACTGAAATGGAGGTGGGTCAGACCGGACAAGGCCATGAGGTCAGAGAGCTGTAAACGGCCGGTGATGGCGGCGCCGGTGAGATTGAGGGCGGTGACTCTGCCGTCGACGGAGCAAGAAACACCTCTCCACGAACAGGGGCTCGAAGAATTGGGACTCCAATCATTCAAAAACCCATTAGGGTCTTCATCAATGGAGGATTTCTTGAAAGCCATCAGAGCCGCCACATCGCTGTGTGAAGCTAATTTTCTGGCATTTGAAACCAGAATCAAGAAACAGAGATACCCAATAATCTGATTGAAGATAATCAAATAATAGCAAATCGAACCCATCACTTGTTCTGATGATTAAAGAGATTTAAACCCTTCACTGTCTCTTCATCTTGCAATTGTAATGTGAACGCATCCCACCATATCAAAAAAATCCAATTTTTTTTGCAGAATCTTTCACTACTCTCTCTAAATCTCTCTCTCTATATATATTTTCACATTTGTGATTGATCTTTCCTCTCTCAGTTGTAGTTCTCTCTTCCGTTTCTTTGCTGCAAAACCTGATTCACACAAATAGTCAAAAATAAATAAACATGAATAGAAAGTACAAAAAATCAATCACTTCAAAAATTAAGTAAAATCAAAGATTGAGATCATAATTGAAAAAATCAAAACTTTTTAAAGGGTGATTAGAATAGGAGGAGATTGTAAAGAGAAGAACAAAGTACCAGGTGTTTTGTTTGTATATAAGTGAGCAATCAATCAAAGAAAGAGCAAGAAGCAGAGTCTGTTATGAGTTTACACTACACAACAGAGGTGGTAATTTTGTGGGGTTAGACCCGTTGGGTACGATGTTCAGAGTTGTCGGCCGTCACAAGAAATGGGTGAAGTGAATTTATAAAAATATATATATATACATACACACACATATATTACACACAGAATCAAAGTCCTCACAGGGTATATGTAGTACTTGGTTTTGATTTACTGAGAGAGAGAGGAGAGAGAGGACATTAACTGTGTGACTGCGTGTGGTATTAAAATGGAAGGGATGATAGGTAGCAGATGAAGTAAAGTCACAATATTTTCCATTTTTACTATTGAAAGAAGAATAGAATAGGAGACAAATAGGACCACATACAGAGAGAAATAGAGGAGAGAGAGAGAGAGTTCTACTTTTGTTCTTTTGTTCCTTGCACGTTTAGGACTTTGACTCGTGATTCCTGGGGGTAAACAGAGTCCATTTCTTCCCAATTTCTTTAAAAAGCAATCAAATTAACTTTTTAATAATATATTAATTTTTGTAAATGATGACAAATTAAAATTTTGGTTATGGGTTGATGATGTCCATTTAACTTTATCAAAGCTATAATGATAGTGAAAGTAAGAATTGTTAGATACGAAAAGATCAATAATAACTTCACTATTTATGATTAGATATTGATTTATATAGTTATGACAGATTTTCACATGGTGGAATGTTTTTGTCTTAACTGTGTTTATTCATTTTAAACCTAAAGCTGAATTATACAAACAATTTTTAAATCCGTCATACATTATGAAACAAAATATTAGACAACCTCAAAATAAGTCTGTAAAATAGATATTATTAGTGGCGTAGTTGGATCTGTTTACTTGAGTAGGGAATTTAAATGCCTACAAACCCAGTGTTAAGAACAATAACGATTTGAGTACTTCACGATCCAATTTGAAATAATTATGAAATATAATATAAATAAATAATCTAAAAGGGTGGTGAATAAATTTTATTTATTCCTTTAACTAATTTTTACTTATTTTAATTTTACTAAAATAAAACTAAAATCAAACCCACAAAACAAATATAAAATGCCCTATTTTTTTTACCAAAAACTAATCGCCGACACTACCTAGTTTTGCGATTTCCCTGTCCAAACCCCAGGCAAGATTTTTGTAGAAGAGTTGCAGGTAGATCAAATAACACTCCACGAATATTTTGACTTTTTTAAAGTGTGATCTAAACACCTTTCTTCTAAATCTGAATTTGATGATGAATGAATGAATTCGGAATTTCTAAATATTCAATTATACTCCAATTCCAATGAAATAGAGAAACAACACTACTAAATCATTATTATGTTTATATGTGTGCTCTCAAAAATAAAATCAGAAAAATCAGATCCGATTTTACTCTCAAAAGGCTTTCTTGACTTTCAAAGACTTACATATGCAAAAGAAGATAAATTTCATACCAAAGACTTTTGGAAAAAATTCTACATCAAATAGGAAGTTTAGACCGAACATGAAACAAATTACCTAAACTATATCAGCACGTGAAACCTTTAACAATTTGGAAAAATTTTATTTTGGAAACTTTAAAGAAACATACCATGTATGTATAGTGTCCTAGGTGGGAAACAATTTACTAAAGTGTTCTAACACACTCACATATATTTCTAAAGCATTGTTCTCATTATTCCCGAGTTGAACACTTAAACTTCTTCAAATCCACTTCTGATCTTCAATTTTGAAATTTTGAACCAAAATATTACAATTCGATCGGACTTATTTTGACAACGAAATTAGACAATCCAAAATATATATAAATATATACTCCTGTCCCAAAAAAAATATCATGCTTGCTTTTTTGGTCTATCCCAAAATAATTGTCACTTTCCTTTTTCAAACAATATATATAGTTAATAGTTTCCATATATGTCCTTGGAGTTTAAAATTTCAAACTTGAATATTCAAAACTTAGAAGGGTTAATAACTTTTCAGGGAGATAAGGCATGTCCCACATGTCCCCTTACAAACTCCTATTCCCTAAAAGCGACATCTAAATTGGGACAGAGGGAGTATATTTCACAAACTTAATGTCTGTTTTGTTTGTAATTATGAAAACAGTTCTCACAAATTTAGAAAACAGATAATAGTTTTCAAATAACTATGAAAGACTTATCTGAAAATAGACCTTTTTATAATTGAGTTTTCAGAAAACTGAACCAGATAAAGTTTTCTTGTACAGTCTCTGTTTTTCGAAAACAAAAAACTATTTTCATAATTATAAACCAAGCAAATCCTAAACTATTAGGTATGATTAACCTCGAATTCATATATACTCATTTCATTTTTTTTATTCGAATTTAATTTTCATCTCACAACCAATCAAAATCCTTTTTTTTTTTCCCACTCATCTTAGTTTAATTTCAGAACCTGAAAGAGCAGAGCAGTATGTAGTTTTAACACTTTTCTTGAGTGGAGTCAAACTTTGTGACTCTTATCTCTCTAAAACTCTCACTGTCCCTGGTTACTGGTCAAGTACGTCTTTCCATGACAATATCAAAGAAAGCATTTTCAATGCAAGAAGAGGGAGAGAGAAAAAATAGTAGAAGTAACAGTAGTAGTTGGAGTTTGTTGAGTGCACGCGAGGCAATTCTAGGATAGTTTTTCTCACCTTTGTATTCACAAGTAGTACTTTGTTTCTGTACCTTATCCCTCTATTCACTCACACGTCAACACAGTATTAAACTAATCCTCAACAATAACAACGTCACACTTTTGACAACAAATGAGAGAACAAGCCACTCTTGTAAAGTCCATGAAAGGACACAACTCTCAAATTGCCAATCAAAGATTTTTTTTTTGTTCAATGAAAAGAAGTATTTTGTCTCAAATTCAATCAAAAGATTTTTGTTCAGTCAAATAAATGTTTTGTCTGTATTGTTTTTTTCGTTTTTTTCTTCCTTTTTGATAGATAAATACTCCCACACTTCAATAATTATCACCTGTGGGTTGATTCTTGTTAAGGAGCTTAAAAATATTAAAATATCTTTGTATGATTAATTATGTTATTAAAGCGTGTCAAAATATAACAAAAATTGGATTAATATAAAAAATATAGGGAAAAAGAAGGATATCTTACTGTCATTCAAAATATAAATGTTACACAAATGGAAGATGAGAATAATTACTAATTATCAATTTTATATTTATTTTTAAATTACAAGTAAACTTTTATTTTATTTTATTTTATTTTGATAATAATTTTTTATTTTATGAGATTAAAAATAACAATTTCTAAAAATTATTTTATGAAAACACTCTTGGCAAACATGACTTACATATGAAAGCACAGTATATATATTTTTAAATAATTATCTTTTTTTTTTGTTTTTTTTTTTTTTTTTTTTGAGTTCTTAATACTAAGTAGTTGTTTATTAGGTGACAGAGTAAGTAGGCCTAAGATTTTTTTTTTTTTTTTCTTATCTTTTGTAACTAAAACTATTATTATTATTATTTTTTTTCCTCCAAATTAGACAAATGGATTAAAATAAACTTGGATTTTATATATATATTTATATATATAGTAGAATTTTTGGAAGGAAGTGGAAAGGCAGAAGCGACAAGAGGCACGGAGCGCGGGACTTGGGGGTTTGGGAGCTTGGTTTGGGGTTCGGGATCTGACTTTGTCTCTCTAAAATCTTTGTCAAAAAAATGTACGCGTGTTGGGGCACACTTTTGTCAGTATGCACTCCACACGAGCGCATCCTATTCCCACTCCACTTTCACACCTTCACTAGATTCCCAACATACCACCACTAACAACAAGACAAAACTAACCAAAATAATCACATGAGGTTGCTTCCATCTGAGCTTCTATCCCAATTCATTAACACTTAAAAGTTTCGCTACTTAAAATTCAGTTTTTTTTTTAAATCTTTAGATCTTGATTTTTAGTTTTATTAAAAAAAAAAAAAAAAAAATTTGTAGTATATGAGTTAATGACATTGCCAATCATGTTAAATAAATAAATAAATGGTCCTACTTTAAAAAAGAAAAAGAAAAATCAATTCAATAGTTTAAAGCAAAGTTGGTCAGATAGTTATGTTGGACTTTAATTCAATAATTCATGTAAAAATCAAAAATATTTTTAATTAATTAAAGAGTAATTTAGACATCGTATCTGATAGATGATTAAAACATAGATACCTTTAAATTTTGGACAATAACCTTAAAATTCTTTGTGATCGTGTAAAATATTAGGTTGCTTTATTCCGATTAAGAATTGTCATTCGATAGGACTAACTAAGGGTTTTAAAACTCTTATATAAAATAACAACAACAACAACAACAACAAGTACGACTTCTCTATAAATAAACATATCTCAATCTTTCTTCATATTTTGAAAACTTAGATATAGTTAAAATTAAATCACACTAAATAAGTTTGAAAACCACCATTCAACGGTGTACAACCATATTTCCAATTAGATTATCAAATTAACAAGTATAACTCAATCGCAGAATCCTATTTTAAAAAAAATAATGCATAGGATTATAAAATAATTTTTATTATTTATATATAACAATTTACAACAAGTTCGAGTCCAACAATTTATTTCAAAGGACTGAGGAGATAGAAAAAGTTTTAGAAATGTGTAAGGGTTAATGTAAATAAAATTTGATGTGAAAATAATTAGTATATGTTATCATTCTCTTCCTGTGCATGATAAGATCAAAAAAGTGAAGAGTTCAAGATCAACTCCAATATAGCTTTCCTCATAGTATTTATTATATATACATTTATATACTCCGTATTATATATATATATATATATAGAGAGAGAGAGAGAGAGAGAGAGAGGAGTGTTGTCTTTTTCTGTGTTGTTAGAACAGCTTTATCATTGAAATAGGAAAAAAAATAAAAATTACACTTCTACATATTATATTATATGTCTCACCATAAAATAGCGGAATCCTCGCAAGGAAATCGGGCTGATTTTTGGACCGACCTTTGTATCTGTGTGTGTGTGTATTTCCTATTAAAACAAACCCATTAGTTTATGTCATGAGGACCACTGCTAACTCATTACCCAATCACAAATAGACCACTCCTCCCACGAGTGGGACCCAACTAACTCTATTTAAATCACGGGTATTGTTATATATACACTTATTGCTAGTTGGATATAATATTCACTTTGCAAAAAGAAATTAATAAATAAATAAAGATGAGAAAGGAAAAATCATGGAAGTTTTTAGCTTTAGCCCGTGGAATTTGGTTATATTGATTTTGATCTTTGATTAGGGTCCGCTAAATATAAATTGTGGTTTAAAATAAAATTTTAATAATAAAATCATTCAATGTTTATTATTTTAACTATTTCTAAATTTGTTCATCTGCCACTAAAAAAA